TACACCTTGCAAATAAATGATGCAAAAAGGAATTAAGTTTTCCAAGTATTAGCCTGGGCACTGCCTGTTGGTAGTTTTGCCTTAGACTCCTGTTTTTCTCCAAATGTCATTTTCTTCATTAAAAACAACAACAACAACAACAGAATTAGGAAATGACCCAATGGTAATTTCTACTCTAGACACATATAAATTCTTAAATAGGTATTAAGAGCTTGAAAAGTTTTCTCCTTGATGGTGGGACCAGAATAAACTACACACACACATACAGTGATTTTCTGAGGAACTAATCTTTAAATGTGTATGCTAGCTTTTAAAATGTGATAGTTCTCCTTCAATTAAAACAGGTGGATTATTCACATAATAACATTCAGTAGTAGGACTGCTGATGTGCAAAAATTAAAATACACACACAAAAAAACACACCAGAAAGTTCCTTGACTTAACTTGCATTTCTGCATACCTAGGCACTTCCTGTTTTGAACAGTGATAAAAATGACAGCAATACCTTTTTTCTCACCTCATAAGTCCCTCAAATCTGTTCTCATGAAATTTCCAGTTCCATTATCCTGTGTGAAGTGGCTTTATAAAATTATCTAGGATTAGGACATTAGTGATGTTATATGACAATAAAAGTGGTTATCCCCTCTATTTTTTATGTCCCTAATCTGAGGCTACCCTCTGCCTAATGATAGCCACCAATTTCTCATTTTGCACAGAAACACATACCCCTTCTATGACCTCTCACAAGAGCTTTCATCACTGAACCCCAGGCTCTCCAGCCTCCCATGTGCCACCACATTTTCTTCAACTCAAGTTTGCTTCTGTCTAAGAGAACTTTTTTATAAACTCAGCAACATCTTACAAGTTCTTAAATTCACCATGTTCTCCTACCTCTATTCTTTTGCACATGATATTTCTTCTCTATGTAACATCTTCTCCCTTTTTCTCTACTGGGAAAAATTCTCTCCTTCCTTGAAGACTTCACTCAGATATCACCCCTTAAAATTCTCCCTCACCTCAGGGCCCCAAATATTCTTTCTCACAGTCGCATGCACAATGCTACTTTATAACATTTATCACATAGTAAAAGAATTATTATGTATGTTTTAAATTTTATTTTAATTGTTGTTGAAGTACAATTTTCTATCTTTTACTTCCATCCCAGCCTACCCATCCACCCCTCCCCTCCTCCCTCCCATTTCCACCTGCCCCTAGTTTTTGTCCATGTGTCCTTTATACTTGTTCCTGTAAACCCTTCCCCTTTTCCCCTGAAATTATGTATTTTTCAATCATTAACCTTAAGCAGTTTATGAGTTTCTTGGGAATAGAGACATCTGAATTTAATTATTTATAGCACATTTTTCCCCAGAAAGGATTTATAACAACTCTTAATTCATCCCACCTAGAACAGTGACAGAAATACAGTAGGCTGTCAATAAATATTTACTTACCAACAGAACCAAATAACCTTGTCATGTACTGTGTCATTACTAGACATACTGACTCACTAAAAGAGAGAGATCACAGAAAATTTAGGAGATAATTCTCCTGCTGAGTTTCGCCATTTCTGCTATTTGTTATCAAAGAAACAGAAATTGAAAACAGACAAAAAAAGCCATGCAACCCACAAATCTACTATTATGAAAATGTGTATTCCATATCGATGAGCTGTGACTTAACTAGGACCAAGTGAATATGTGTAGAACAGCATAATCTAATGAACTTATCGTCTCTTTACCAACTGAGTTGTTACGGGATTTCAGGTAAATCAATCACTACCCCTGGAAACTCCCTGTTTTTTTTTTTTTTTTTTTGCCTTCTGTTCTTCTAGAACCACTGAGGAGAACACAGTGTGTTCGCAAAGGCAATTTTGGGAAATAAACAAGAAAATTGCCTAACACTGAAAGTCAGAAGAAGCAGGTTCTACATGTAGGTATGTCATAAATGAGGCGTGATCTTGGGGAAGTTATTGCTACCCTCTGGTTCTCAGTTTTCATAAAAATTAATTACTAATTCTCAAACTTTCCGACACCCTCAACCACCACTTAGCACCTGGGGAATATGGCACATTCCATCAGCTAAATTTTCTCGTATTGATAGCATTTTCTCAGTGGAGGTGGGTCTGGGTTGTGTCAGAATCACAGTCTACATATAAACAAGGTAGGTGTACAAGGGTATGTAGGTACAGTGATAAAACTCCCTCCTGTGATTCTTAGTATTCTAGGTGAGAAACAGGAAATTCCCCCTCTGTACCTCCAGCTCCAAAACACTCATGATTTTATAATTTGATGACTGAGTATGAGGAATGGCACAAAAAGGACAATAGTATAAAATGCAGACTAATGGCAGAATAAAGTTATTAGTTGAGAATAGTTTCTTCATTAAAAACAGACATATATGCTCAGAAACATGAACTTAGACTTGATTTATAAGAATTAGGCTTTGCCTTTTACTGTTCTATCTATGTGACCTTGAACAAGGCCCTGGACTGCCTTTGGACTGAATTTTCTCATCTATAAAATGCAGACACGAATGCCTCCCCGCAGTGGGGATTAGGTGTCATCAGCTGTACAAAGCATTCAGTGTGGTGCTGAGCACGGAGTCAGTGCTCAGTAATGGCTGTCAACAATTGTGAGGGCAAACTACATAAAATGTACTTAAATGAGTAAGACATGCCCCCCCCATCTTTATAGGTTAGGGTTCCTCTGCTGATTTAGAATCTCATATAACTCAGCTCAAAATTGGACTATCAAAAATTTCTGACAATGAAATGAGAATCAAAATTCTGTTAATGTGTTTTATATTTATTCATTAACCCCCAAAGAACTATTTAATATTTTAGCATCTTAATTGGAAATTCCAGAAGATTTTATGTGTGACCATCACTAGTGATGGGTTTCAGGGTTTTATGTAAACACACGAAGCCCAAGGAACCTGCATCACAATGCTCTAATACTCCTGGTATCATAATCACGAAGTGAACATCTTCCGAAAACTAACTGTGTCAGGCACTGATGTGAGTAATTTATGTGTATTACTATTAACTTATTTAAACCTCAAAAACACTATCATAAATACTGTTGTAATCATCTCTATTTTTCAAAGGAGGTTATTGGTACAAAGAGAAGTGAAACTTGCTCAAGATCACTGTGGCCAAGTGGAAATCCAAACCCAAGAATCAGGTCCCAGACCCCAAACTTTGGGACTCTCTGGTGTGGTGGGGGTAATAACAAGATCCCTAAATGGGCTGTGAGAAAATATGAACTCTAGACCTATCTGAGTGACCTTAAATACATTACTTCCTTGTAGGTCCAAGGTTTCTCTGTCTAAACTGAGGGATTTGAATTAAATCTAAGGTTCCCCAGCATTAAGAATATCAGAATTATCATCCTGGTTCAAATATTGATTATTTCTCTTTCTAGGATTTCCTAACTCAAACCACCCTCCAATTTGAAGGACAAGGATTAGTGTCTGCAGAAACCTCCATCCCCCCCTTTTGAGATTTACTTTTTAGCTGCTTTTTGTTTGTTTTGTTTTCCTGGCATGTGTTATGTTGGCAACACAAACCACTGTGTATACATCTATGTGTTTGTAAATGTTTATGCTGTTATTGCTGTTTATTTCCTTTGTTTAGAAGAAAAATAATTTGTAAAACAAACACAAATGGAAAGGAAACAAAATTAGGCAGACCAGATCCCACTAACAATAGGAACCACACAGTTGCATTTGTCATCTTATTTGCAGTGCTATTTCTATCCCCACCACCAGTGAAGCACCCACTAGCCCTTCTCCTGCTTAATTTTCTCTGTAGGACATACCACCATCTGACATACTATATTATTTGACTTATTTATGTGTTATCTCTCTTAGGAGAATGGAAGCCATTAAAAAACAGAGGCTTTTTGTCTCCCCTTTTCAAGGCTGTTAGGCCAAGGTCAGTAACAGTGCCTGCGCACAGTAGGTGCTCAAAAAGCATTGATGAAGGGAATTGAATTGCTTCCTGATATGGAGGATCTCTGGGGACTGATGGCATGTCACTATTAAATTTCACCTGTTTTCTCTCCTCACTTAATATCATCACCCACCCATAACAGAGGCCCAGAAATGCATTTAAACTCATCCCTTCTACTCTTGCCTGAAATTTCACAACATAATTGCCTTGGTTCAGGCTCTATTAGCTCCCCTTAAACTAATGCAAATGACACCCCAACTGACTTTTAGTCTCCTGAATTCTCTCCTATTTAACATCCAGCCCCCCAACAGTACCTAGAGCATGTGATCTTTAATCAATACCTATCAGATCATGCTGTTTCCTTGTCTAAATCCTTCATGGTTCTTCAGGGCCTTCAAAACAGACTCTAGACTATTCAGCAGGAAACCAAAAACCCTTTTGAACTGACCACTGATCATCCTTTTAGTCTCATTTCCCCTCCTATACACTATTCTCTAGTCATATTGCACATTTTGCAATTCCCTCTTTGATCTCTTTGTACCCACTGGATTGTTTATCTGAAATGCCCTTAAATTCACATGTACCTGGAAAATTCCATTAACATTCAGCCCCAACATCAGTTATATTTGAAAACCTTTCCCCAATTTGCCAATTATGGAAGCCACCCTTAACTTCTTTCTCCCCCTAATACTTTTCACCTAACTCCAGTAGTACATTTGTCATATTGAAATTGAGATATTTGTAGACACTGTCTCTATTTGGTAGACTAATGTTTAATGGCAATGCCTAGTGCAGTGCTTGGTACATAGCAGACCTGTAATAACTATTGAATAAATAAGTGGAGCAAACAAATACATACATGTTTTAATCTAGAGATTCTTATCCTTCTCATTTAAAACATGTTTATAAGTAAAATTGGATTCTAAACATGTCCCAACAAACACAAAATTTAGAATTTTTCTAGTCTTACCAAGAAAAACTTGTGGCCTGTCTAGGGTATCTCTTGACTTCGCAAGTGACTGTAATGCTGAGGCCATTCCTTCCACAGGTATCTTCTTCTGTGATCTCCAAGAATCCACCTTGGGCCTAAAGTCTCAGTGAGAATGCTGCCATTACCTACAAAGTTGGGATGGCCACTGGATGCACACACCTGGATGGCCACTGGATACACACACCTATTTCCTCGATCTGCCAGAAGAGAACCGGAAGCGGTAGTATCCCCACGTGCCTGGGACCAGAGACGTAGAGCATGGGAGGTTCCAGGAGAGTAGGATGTGGGGTAGGCTGTTCCCAGGATTGCTTTAGAAGCACAAGAAAAGTTTTCTTTAAAATCAGGGTGTTACAGCAGCTATCTGAAGACACCACATATCCAAAATTAGGAGTGGGAACAAAGTCAAAGGAGCAGTTAATCAGTGTGTGGCTTCCTGAACCACCTTAGTGAAATAAAATGCCAAAATTCACAGATACATTGACACTCCTGCTGATGGCCTAAAATAGCATCAACTTCCGACTTGGCGAGCCAATTGCTAGCTATTGCATTTAACTCTTCTGCCTGATGACATGTCAATAGGGTGACCTTATTTGCAAGATGAGTTCTCTTCTCCCTCTCTCATTTCCACTTTGGCACTGAGACTGGACTTTGCTTTCTCCAAGGCTCATTAGACTATAAGATGCCACTGTGGATAGATTTGTTTAAATTAAAAGTAACTATTTCCATGTGTGAAAGAAGGCAGCACTAGATTGGGATGAAGCATTGGGAAAAAGGAATTTCTGGATATAGATATGCTAAAATACCAAGAAACAGGTTTGAAATTCAAGAGGAAACAGGGACAGAGATGCATCTTAAGTGCTGTTAACAAAAGGAGTATTCTATTCAGCACTTGTCTTATATCACCTAGACTAAGTGGCTCTGCTGGGCACCATTACCCTTATAGGGGGAGTCAAGAGAATGTTCCTGCAGGCATCTGGTGTAATGCAAATGAAATGATGGATTTCTACCAGCTGCCTGGCCAGTGATGGGACCCTTCTATTGGAGAAAATAAAATTATATTTTAAAAAATACCTAAGAGAAGCAGAGGAGAAACAGAATGGGATTTGGCAGAAAAGTCAGATGATGAGCACAGGCTCCCTGGGTCCAGTCTTCTGCCAGGCCTAGTTAGCCAACCTGCAACCTGTAATCACAGGCACAGTATATGCAGGGGTTAAGAGCCAGGCTTTGGGTTAAGAGCCAGGCTTTGGGTTCAGATAGCACCTGAAATAATTACTAAACTCTGGGAAAATTATTTGACTTTTCTTTGCTTAAATTCTTCATCTGTAGAAGAATAGTGCTGTCTTCATGAGATTATAGTCAAGAAATATGAGTAACGCATATAAAACTTGTAACATGTGCTATGTGTTCCATATATGTGAATCTAAAAATAAACCCATTAGTGGAAATAGTTAGGAGTAAGTCAGACTAGATAACCTCTACTGCAAGCAAAAGTTCTAGTGGAGTTTCATAGAGAGACCTCAGACCTCTTCTAGCTCTATCTCTTCATTTGGGGAAGAGCAAGATAAGAAAGATATGACCTTTCTTCTCAATTGACCTTATATAGTAAAGTAGGAGGTATAGACATATAGACATATATATTATATAGTGTATATACCTATATATACATATATAACATATACATGTTATATGTATAGGTAAGAAATAAAAACCATGTAAGTCATGAAGAAAGTATTATAACAACAAGAATTAGAAAGAATCAATTCTGACTTAATTGGAGACCATGTTCTAGGGGTGGCTATAGTGTTTTTCCGTTTGTACAAAATTCTTTTTTTTTTTTTTCAGGTACACCTGCAAGTGAAGTAGATTATACATCATCTGGATCCTGGACCCCAGCAGGACAACATCTTCATTTTTCTTTATCATTCACATGAATAACCCAAATAAGTTCAATTCAAGGAAGCAGGAGTTCACTCAGCCAGGGTTCTAATGCTTTGCTATCTCCCTGCTTCTTACTGCCTGACAAAGGGCACTGGAATCAGATGTAGTTCCAGCTAGTTCTGTCTCTGATTGGTTTCTATAGAGGTCACAGGTACTTGTCTGAATAATGTGGGCAACAATTGCTTGATGGGTCCCAAACTTTGTACTAGAATTTTTAATCAAGGCAAAAAAAAAAAGACAATTCAGCAGACTACAGACAAAGAAAAAATTAACTAGATTTTCTACTACCTACAATTTTCTGCCTAGTAGTGATGTGTTCTTTGTTCTGCTGAAAAACCCTCTACGCTGATGGTGCGGACACTGACAGTGAAGCTGTGTGGTGGTTGGCTATCTCTAATTTTTTTCTTCACTTTTCAGATGAGAAAGTAGGTTATGATTCATTTTGTACAATCTGAGTCAAAATTCATTTTTGTCTTTTTTTTCAATTAGTTCTCCTGCATTCCACATGAAAAAGCAAGAGTAGTTTGCTCAGCAAATGAGAACACTGTGGTATGTCTTTGTGTGCTGCTTTCTCACACACAATGACTGAAAAACATTTTTGTATTAGCTAATTATATTCCAATAATAATAAAACATAAAAAAGAGTTAATTCAAATAGAAGCAAACACTAACATCAAAAATTCAGAGGGGTTGGTTGTTATAAACTATAAATGACGTAAATCAAACAAGATGCTGCTCTAGGAACTGATATTAACATCTCTTAAATATTTGATCTATTACAGTTTAGAATGCATTATAATTGTTATTTATTTGAAATTGATCATCACAATAAACACATGTAATAAATAGGGAAGATAATGCTCTTTTTAAATAGATGAAAAACAGAAACTCAGGAAGTTTAAGAGGTTATATATAATTGCTAGAAGAACAGGTAACATAATCCAGAAAACCTAAATTGAGACTTTGGTTTTGTCTCTTAATCTGTCCTTAGATAAAACAATTTCTCTGGCGAAATGCTCCCATTTTACAACTGGTAAAAGAATGTTTTTAAATAATGTATCATATGTTCTAAAGCATATTACAAATGACAACTGTCACAGATGCTACACAAAAAAGATATGAGACTTAGACTTGGATTTCCTGACTCCAAGTCCAGTGCTCTTTCGCCATGCTATGTAACAAAAGATGAACTATTCATTTTATGGTGGTGCGGTATTATCTACACTGAAGACCATGGTCACATTAATGTTTTCCAATATTAATATCACTATACATGCCAAGTACCAGTAGCAAACATTATTGACCCAAGTAAATCCTTAAGTAGTTATGCAAAGGTATCCAAATAAGGACACAATATTCCTTATATTCTGCAAACCTATTTTATTTTTATTAACTGACACTTAAAGCTACTTTATATGCTGTGAACCTTCTCATAAACACTGAGGAATAAAAAACAGTACTGAGCAGAGTATAAAATAGATTAGAAAACATAATTCTTGAGTTTCTTTTCCAGTTTTTCTGTGGAACTCTGAAACAAGTACTATTGTAATTCTACATGGGGCAGCTATTTTCCTACCCACCTACATCTTAATGGTGAATAGAGGACAATGTATAATAAGTATTTGAGGTAAATAAATTAAGAGGCCAGAGGATCCAAGTAGATCATTAAGTCTAATCTGTTAAGATGAGAGATGAGGTCCATGGAAAAAGGGCTAGCCTAAGATGCCACAGCAAGTCAGTGGGACAGGGTCAGGCCCTGAATCTGGCCTCTGAATGAATGGTCGATGTTGGGCTCTTTCCTCTACCACCCTGTCTCATGATAGCATGACAACTCTGTGTGTAAATAATGTTTATTTCAATGGGTAGCTTTGAAGACATCATTTCACTGAGGAGTTCATCAATTTATCTTTGTTGAATTACATCCACATTCTTCAATATTTTGAATATTAGAAGGTTCATGGAGGAGGACTTTTTAAAGATTTTATTTTTATTTATTTTTAGAGGGAGGGGAGGGAGAAAGAGGAGAGAAATATCAATGTGTGGCTACCTCTCCAGTGCCCCCTACTGGGGACCTGGCTCACAACTCAGGCATGTGCCCTGACTGGGAATCAAACCAGCAACCCTTTGGTTTACAGGCTGAACTCAGTCCACTGAGCCATACCAGCCAGGGGAGGATTTTTAAAATTTAAATGATATTTAGTTTAATGTTTTTCAGGGAAAAAAGCAACAAGTACTTCAACCTATAAAATTAAGTTATGGATGTCACTGACATGGATGAAGATAAAGTAGGTTAAAAATTGATTGAAACAAAAATGTTAGGCAAATTAGAGTATAGATAGTTTACATATAGGGTGTAATTATGAAGGTGCTCTCCGAAGACCAGAAAGTGGGAAGCTCTCAAACAAGAACATTTCTAAGTGCCCCTTTAACTTTGCCACAATCTTAAAGCTGAATAGGAGAGAGAGAGAGAGGCAGTGGAAGTTAATAAATGTTTCCCATTACCTCCTGCCTACTGCATGACCTTTGTCTCCTTCTACAAGCTATGCTTACACAGTGTTTCTGCTCTTTCTTGTTGAATTTTGACAACTGATCTCACTTCCACACAGAAGTGGAGCTGAGCCTAGTGCTCATATATTGAAGGCTTGATACAGAACCAAATGAGGACAGAGGTCGGAGCTGTGCAGTGCTGTAATGAATCTGGGAGAATTTAACGCAACATGACTGACATCAGAGCCACACTTAGGAAGAGGATCAGGATGAGATTGTTAATTTGGACCTGCTTCTGGGACTTCCCAGTTTATTGGCATTGTACGTATTAAGCTTGTTTTTATTTAAGAGCACTCAACTGTCTTTGCTGAAAATTCAAACCATAGATAGTTCATTGCCAATTGGTCTCTACTCTCCAGCAACAGTGTCCCTTCACATGGACCCCTCTGGCATTGTATGTCACACAGGTTAGCTGGTAATAGTGCCAAAAGCCCCTGAACCTGGATGAAAAAGAACGTCTTTTCTAATGCCAGTCATGAAATCTATTTTCCTTTAAAATCCTTGGTTCCAGAGAACTTAACAAATGCTTTCTCTTCTAAGCCATGATGTTAGCTCATTTCTATTTCTCCCATAGTGTACATTATAATGATTGGTGTATAGTAGGCACTCGATAAATATTTGTGGACAAATGAATCCATTCAATTAAAAATACAACAGATGCCTACCAAGTAGAACTCCACAGATGTTCAAACAATGGCTTTGCTGACAGTCAATTAACTATGCCTTCTGACAATTCTAATGTCACTTTAAAGTCTGGAAGGAGATGATTAGTTGAGTGTTTTAGAGAAAGGTATGGGGAAAGTGCTGGTGGGGGTGAAAAAAGTGGTTTGGAAGGGAAAGGGAGTTGAGGTCATGGTTATCTGGATTTGTATGTTTAAGATCAGAACATGCATAATTAGCACTTGTGGGCTCAGGCCGCAGTTCTCACTGCGTCTCGGTGCACAACCATAGATAATCTGTGAAATGAGACCTGTTTGGCATACACTATGTGTGCCCCCACCCGCTCTCCTTCTTCTGGAACGTTAAATTTGCTTTCACATTTGTTAGGCAATGCAATTTTGATTATAAAGTAGGACTCTCTTTTCTACTTTTCCTTTCATCCTTTGATAAAGAGAATGGTGATCCCAACATAACTGAATGAGTGGGTGTCTGCTATTTGTATTAAGTACGAAACACCAATCCCGGGTGGAGTTTCACATCCTTGCAGGAGCCTAGTGATCTTTCAGAACAGGTTGCTATGGAAAACACATTTAACCAAGGAGAAAGGATGTTTCTTTCAATGTGATTCTCTGCCCATCTGACCTGATTAGATTAGACCAGAAGAAAACTGAGGAGGTAAGAGATGGTACTAGGAACCTGTAAATACAAAGGAAGTCCAGAGTGGGGAAAAGTGGGATCTAGAACTTTAAAAAGAAAACTTTAATCAGGTAACTTATCCACTGACCAAATTCAAGCCTTAGTTTTTACAGTAAACACATGCAAAAGAGATCAAGTCCAAAGGTGTCAATCTGATTTTGATTGAAGTTCAATGAATGTATCAAGTATGTATTTACTCTATACATTGTCCAGTACCTTTAAGTGATTAAACAAAGAAATAAGAAAGCTTGACTTATAATTCATGGCTCTGTCATGAACTAGTTTGTGAACCTAGGAATCTCACTCATTTTCACATCTCTAAGAATGAGATTTTCCCAGATAGTCTCTCAGACTCGCTCCAAATCTTAACACTTTATGATTCCATAAAATGCTACATAAATATTTTAAATCAATGAAATATTTTCCCTGTGTAGTTTACTGTACACCATGTCATTACCCAGAGAATATGGAATGTGTGCTCATAATTTCACTTATAGGTTCATTAATTAATTAAACAAATATTAAAACCTCTCCTATAAGCCAGGTGTTGTTCTAGGGCCAAAGACATAAGAGTGAACTAAACAAAATTATTGCCTTCAATCAAATTTACATCCTAGTGGGGAACACATGGAATAAATATTACAAGTTAGTAACTGGATAAAAATAAGAAGAAAAGATATTGGGAATCTCTTCAATTATTTTGTATTTGAAAAATAAAAGAACTCAGGACAGTATGTACATGTAGGTCCTAAGAAGCTACTGATTTTGTTCTTTACCCTTATTCTTTGAATAAGGTATATCCAGATCTGGGTTCACCAAAATAGCTGGCCCTCACTTACTTTCTCACCTTTGTGACCTTGAAAGAGTCATTTGGGCTTCTGTTTCCTGAAAATGAAAGGTTGTTCTTGATAGTTCCTATGATTAAATCTTCTTTATGGTTTTATAAATCTAGGTTCCCAAATCAATGCTTAAAAGCACACTATATAGTCAAATTAATTAAAAATTAACATGTACTAAGGTAGAACACATTAAAATGCTTAAGATTATTTATTTAGTGCTGTAAACATATATTTCCTTGAGCACACGCTTTACCAGAAATCACTACCACAAAAAGAAATATATCTAATATGTCTCATTAACTAGAAAACATTCTATCCCCACGACCCACAGATATCTTAAACGGAGAGCTTGAGATAGACAAAACCAAGAAATCCATTCTTTTTCCCAAATCAATACAACCTTTTTTCTAACCACTTCTTTCTAATTTTTCTTCTAGTGTGGTTTTGGGGTTTTTAATTAATTAGGTCATTTTTCTGTAGACAAACAAAAGATTCCTAAGGCCTCAGGTTCCATCTGTACTAAAGGAAGTGCTGTACTTGGAGTCATTTCCCAGTCTGTAATTGGTAGGAGCACTCTGAAAACCATGTTCCCGATACATAATAATAATCACAACAACAATGACAACGACGATGACAACAATAACACAAATTACCTAGCACCTCTCAGTTAAGACCCTCTAAGCACTTTTCAAAGCAATCACTTTGTTCCTAGTGCTGATAAAAAAGCTTCAGCACAGGCATGTTGACTGATCTTACAGTCCATGGCCATCCAGCAAGATGGTGCTAAGAGAGTGTGAAAGGGTGAAAAGAGAACAGGATCTAGAGTCAGTAGACCGGGGCCCCGGAAAGTGGGGAGTCTCTTAATCACTCAGGCTCTTGGTCTTCATATATGAAATGGAAATAAATGTACTGTGTATTTTGCAGACTAAGTACAAAAGCATTATGTAAATGTTAATTATAATCAAGTAAGAACAATAATAATATTGGAATAGAACTGAAAATTAGATGCTAGAGGGAGTTTCCCAGGCAAGTTTTGTGGCCTAAGTCACTGAATAACAACAATTGGGCAGAACTTCCAAAACTGAATCTCATTGTCCACGGGATGCCTGGATAACCACCATCCC